TACCATAAAGAAAAACACACAAACTTCAATTGACGCAAGTAAAGAGGTTGGTTTAGAAGTAAACAGAGAAAATTAAGTATATGTTACTGTCTCATCACCAAAAATGCAGGGCAAAATGATGACATAAAGATAGGAAACAGATGTTTTGAAAATGTGGCACAGTTCAGATATTTGGGAACAATGATAACAGATCAAAACCTGATTTAGGAGGAAATTAAGAGGAGATTGAACTTGGGCAGTGCTTGCTACCATTCAGCCCAGAAACTTTTGTCTTCTCATCTGTTGTCCAAAAACATAAAAATTAGAATATACAAAATTATAATTTTGCTGGTGGTTCTGTATGGGTGTGAAACTTGGTCTCTGATATTAAGGGAGGAGCATAGACTGGGGGTGTTTGAGAACAGGCTGTTGAGGGGAACATTTGGGCCGAAGAGAGATGAAGTGGCAGGAGGTTGGAGAAAACTGCATAATGAGGAGCTTCATAATTTGTACTCTCCTCCATGTATAATTAGAATGATCAAGTCAAGGAAGATGAGGTGGGCAGGGCATGTAGCTTGAATGGGGAAAGAGGAGTGCATGTAGGATATTGGTGAGAAAGCCAGAAGGAAGCGCACACTAGGAAGACCAAGATGTGGGTGGGTGGACTATATTAAAATGGATCTGAGATAGGATAGGATGGTATGGATTGGATAAATCTGGCTCAGGATAAGAACCAGTGGAGGGCTCTTGTGAACACGGTGATGAACTTTCAGGTTCCATGAAATGCTGGGAAATTCTTGAGTAGCTGCAGAATTGGTGGCTCCTCAAGAAGGGCTCAGCTCCATGAGTAAGTAAGTAAGTAAGTAAGTAAGTAAATGTTTATTTATACTACATATCCAGAATCAGACTGCCAGGTATTATAAACCTCAACACAAAATTCAGAATCAAATGGACATTTATGATCATCACACTACACAAACAAAATGCTCTCAGGTCAGTTTTTTAGAATGTGATGCCAGGAGCTCACATTTTATAATGGTTATAGCTTTTTAAAGGAGGCTGTCAGGATATATTTTATCAAGATTTTCTTTTTATTTGTTTGAATGTTCAAAAACCAGTCTGTATGTATTGCGTGTAACAATGAGAGATTCTGTATATAAGATCTAAAAAGTTTGTGATGATGGTACATATATTGATACAAGTATTATGTTTTTGGACATCCATCTTCTTGTTTATTTCCATGGTTTATGCTAACTGTCTTACAGTGTATACACTTTTTCACCTTATTCTTCACTTCCACACTACATGTTTCAGCACTAATGTGCCATCCTCAGGTGTCTTTATGCATGTTAAACTATTGTACTGCATGCCATGATGTCTTCATTCTAAAATGACTAAAATCTGTATTCATCATATATGTCGATGAATTCTAAATAATAAAACTTTTCAGGATTCACCCTTTGTAGCACTCAAACACGCGAATTATGCCAATCCTCTTTTATGTGAGCATTCTTCCTACATATATTTGTGTATCGTGTTCTGTGTTGTATTTTGCTCCTGTTACTGCATGCATTGTCTCATTTTTATGTTGATAAACAAACTTATAATTAATGTACAAACATAGACCCATAATCAGCTGAAATGTGTTGCAAAAAACACACATCAGGTTTCAACCATAAAGGAAATAATAACAGAATTATAAATGTTACCAATTACCAGTGTGCCACAAATGAAACTTGAGCACAAATGGTGGAAAACTGAGCTCCAATAGGACCACAAATATATCATCCCAGAAGAACTTTGGGAGGAACTCTGAAAAGACAGAAAGATTATATATTTTGTTATTACCTGTAAGAGAACAAGTAGACCTAATTCTCTGAAGGATGATATGAAATTTTAATGAAAAAATTTGTTTACTGTATTTTGTTGTGAAGATACAGTTGTGAGATTCTAGTTGCAGAATAGGACTGAACATTTTTGAAAATGTTGAAAGATTAATTCTGTATATGTATCCTGCTTAAGATGGCTTTCAATAATATGCAGTTCAGCTGTCTGGAAGACAGTTAGTTCAGAATGAATGCAGACTGTGGATTTATGGCTGCTGAACTGAAATATTTTCAGGCTTGGCCTGATGATGCTCTGTTGGCCGTGTCCACTCACTTCTTCGCAGATGTGGAGTTGACAGAGAAGGAGAGAGATGCTTGCATCACAATGTGTCAGGAATTCCACACGTCAACCCAGGAACTCTCAGTGGAATTCTTCAAGAGATTAGGACGGTATAATTATGTGACACCCATGTCATATCTTGAGCTCATCAACACATTCAAGGATCTCCTCAGCAAGAAGAGACAGTAAGATGGTTGAAGCTGATACAGTTATGTTATGTGTGTTCTTTGACTAAACTAAGTGCATAATATGGCAAACATGTTTCATTGCCTGTACTGTTCATTGGATTTAAATGAAATTTGTTATTGATGATTATAGTGATGTTGTTAGGTGAATTTAATTTTCCCCATGATGGTATTGAGATATCTCAGTCAGTAAAATTAATGACTACGGATTATGACCAGCCCAGCCTCCTATCCATTGTTCATGTGGAACTTTTTCTTCTTGAGTAAAATTGTTATGGTGTGAAGCTGACCATACACTTTCATTTATAACAAAGATAAATATATGGAACTTTATCTTCAGTCCCATATACACCTTCATGGCATGTTACTTGGACATAGACAAACTTCATCACCTTTCTATTTTTACTTTTTTGATCCACTATAATCTTTACTTTACATGAAAATAAAAATTTAGGCCATGCCACAGCTCAAGCGGTTAGCCACTGGCTTCCCACTGTGGCTGCCCAGGTTTGATCCTGGGTCTGGTCATGTGGGATTTGTGGTGGACAAAATGGCGCTGGGGCAGGTTTTCTCCAGTACTTCCGGTTTCCCCTACCAATCTTCATTCCACCAATTGCTCCACAATCACCCTCACCTATCATCTGTGGCTGGTACAATAGGCCAGAAGTGGCTGCAGTACAAGGGACTTAGTTCCAACCCACTAGCAATAAAAAAAAATAAAAATTTGCTTTGTCAAAATTCTCAGACAGGCTATGTTACACAGAAAACAGACCCATGGCCTTAATCATAGATTTTGTTACAATTTATAATTATTACAGCATTTAGTTTAAGCATGACATATTTTATGCAATTTTGTACCATTTAATAGCAATGGCTTCAGTGGATTTGTTTTTGCAAAAACTGACCCTCAAGATCATTGAAAAATGCAAAATTGAAAAGGATCCCCTTTAAGAATATCCCTAGCTGGAGATGTACCAGTCTTTTTCTTGATTAACCTTTGCTTTCATTGATAATTTTAGTAAAATGTAATTTGAGCTTAATATGAAATCGGGGTTCTATTGCACCTGTCTGAATCAAAATACAATTTCTGTGAAAACTTATAGTGTTCTGTCCAGTAACAGATTTGGTACTTCATCTATAATTGTACCATGACCTGAAATATGTCAAAATAATCACTCACTAAAATTGTATTACTCTAAAGAGATCTTTATTATATTGACAGTATCCAAAGATAAGTACAGTTAAGTAAAGTTCAGTATGAACATTCCCATTGTGTGTTCATTTCTTGCTCTTTGTTTTGGGATGAAAGAATGCATTTCTTATATTGGTCTGGTTCAGGGAAGTGCTGATGGGAAAGTCACGCTATGAAGTAGGCATAGAGAAGCTGGACAGTGCAGCTGGTGAAGTGTCGGTGATGCAGGAAGAGCTGGTGGCACTGCAGCCCCAGTTGGTGGTGGCAGCCAATCAAGTGCAGGAGATGGTTGCTAAGGTGGAGAAGGAGTCTTTGGATGTGGCAGAGGAACGTATCTTTTTCATTAAAAATATTTTATGATATCTTAATAATTTACATATTATAAGATTTTTTCTGCTCATTGATGTTTTCATAATGGAAATTAGATTGAACTGGTTCAGTACAGAGTCCAATTGCAGCCTCTTTTGATCATGGTAATGAACTTCTGGTGTTCTGTGGAAGCAGGGAATTTCTTGGTCATCTGAGTAGCTTTGAGCTTCTCAAGGATTCTGCTTCATGGAGTAGGTCACTATTACAAGATTAAGGCTGATTTTAACTGTAAGTTTTAAGAGTGCCTCCTTCTTAATATATTTTTCAGATTCAGTTGTTACATTTCTGAAACAAAAATGTTTGATGTCTGCATAAGTGGTTATGGTCTGATGTCAGTCTACTCAGTAAAGCAGAGGAAACAGGGTTTGGTTCTCCCTCAGTTTCCTTCCTGTTTCCACAGATTATCATCCAGTGGAGATATCATTAACATGGTTTATATCTTCCTCTCATTTCCTGCCCGTTTCCACAAACTACCAACGAACACAGATGCTATTAACATACCTTGTCCATACCCTCCTCATTTCTTGCTTTTATTCACAAACCTTGAACATTATGGTTACTGCATATGCCATTAACACGACTTGTCCATTCCCTCATCGTTCCTTGTCTTTTTCCACAGACTCACATTCGGAGGAGATACAATTGGAGTATCTTGTATCTTTTTCTCTCTTTCCTCTTTCCAGAAATTCACGTTCAAAGCAGATACAATTAACTTGGTTTGACCCCTCTCTCCATTCTCTGCCTGTTTCCAGGAACTTGCACACAAATAAGATAGCATTGGTTTTCAGGGAGCCAAGACTTCATGGTCAGTATAGTGACTAGCCCACAGAATGGTTCAGTTCACAGCAAGAGCATGAACGTTTTTGTCACCACATTCAGGCTGGCTCAGGTGTACACAAGTATGCAGTTCACTTTTCATTTCAGGATTAAATATTTGACATATTTTCCCCTTTGGAAGTTTTTCCTCTGCCTGAACTGCTTCCTTTATTTCCATAACTTATCTAATACAAGAACAAAGCTCACATGTTTCTGTACTGTTGTACTCTGATCTCCAAGTAAGGGGTCACTAATTGCTTTTCCAGTTACTTTATGACTTCAAGTCTGGTAACATGCAAATTATTCTTGTATGGATTATATACAATAAAAGTGTTACTTGTGTCAAGAATCCTGAAGGAAATTCAGATAGACCATCATCTAATCAACGATCAATGTGGAAGTTCGCAAATTTTTCATCTAGCGTATGTACAGCACCCTTTGTCAGGTTGTAATAAGAAATTACTTCTGGTTTCATAATTGCTTCATCTACATCTTTGTTGTGATTCATCAGTGACATAAAGATGACAAATCTCTTCTCTTTGGTGATGTGTGAATCTGATGTACAAAGTGATTCAAATATGACTGGGACTGATTTTTTTTTTAAATCATAATTGCCAAACACTTACTTGCACATGTCAGTCTTCAATGTACTCCCCTCCAGAGTCAACACATTTTTTCCAACGTTCTGGAAGCATCCTGATACCCTTTTCAAAAAAGGCTTGTGGTTGGTGACGTATCCACTCCCGAACAGTCTGGATGATGACGTCGTTGTCCACAAACCGCATGCCTTGCAAGTCTGATTTGAGGCTTCCAAACAGGTAGAAATCACTTGGGGCCAAATTGGGACTGTACAACAGATGTGTCAGAAGGTTCCATTTCAATATCACTTTCCTACCAAACGGCTCCTCCACACTCTCTTGGGTTTGGGAGAACTGGTATGCCACCACTCATATGATGACTACTGGGACTCGGGAATGAAGTAGTGCACCCACGTTTCATCGGTGGTCACTATAGACTTCAAAAATGCATCACCTTTATCTTCAAACAGGCAACTTGCATACGCACCAATTTGTTCACGTCCGTCAAAGTGCGTGGTACCCACCGTGCATTCACCTTGCGATAGTGCAGGTGGTATTTCACGATTTCTTCTACACTACCAACACTGATGGACATCATTGCTCCAAGTTCCTTGATACTGATGCGCCTATTCTCACGAATAAGTGCGTCTGCACGATTAATGTTTGGCTCAGTGTTGGATGTTCGTGGTTCATTCTCCATGCACTCTCTGCCCTCTCTGAAGCACTTACACCACTTAAACACATGGGTCAATGAGAGACACTCTTCCCCATACTGTTGTTGGAGTCTGTGGTGAATTTCAGCAAGGAATTTGATCACAATGTGTTGTTCCACGCTCTGCGGTACATTCTGTTCGCTCATCACCCTAGCAGCTCCCAGACAGGACTGAACAGGTTCTAACCTGAACAAGAGGGAGGGTGGAGGTTGTGGCTTCACTCTCTCAAGGTCGCACAGCTGCTGTGCAGTGTGGCTTGTTTACACACAAATCAGTCCCGGTCATATTTGAACCACTTTTTATATTCACCTAAGAGAGATGAGGTGACAGGAGGTTGGAGAAAACTGCATAATGAGGAGCTTCGTAACCTGTACTCTTCTCCAAGTATAATTAGAATGATCAAGTCAAGGAGGATGAGGTGGGCAGGGCATGTAGCACGAATGGGGGAGAAGAGGCATGCATATAGGATATTGGTGGGAAAGCCAGAAGGAAGGAGACCTCAGAGAAGAACAAGGTGTAGGTGGGTGGAGAATATTAAAATAAACCTTCGAGAGATAGGTTGAGATGGTATGGATTAGATTAATCTGGCTCAGGATAGGGACCTGTGGAGGGCTCTTATGAACATGGTAATGAAGCTTCAGGTTCCATAAAATGCTGGGAAATGTTGCAGATTTGGTGGCTCCTCAAGAAGGGCTCAGTGCCATAAGTAAGTGAAACTGATATTGGTAAGTCATGAACCCAAGAACACAAAATCACTGGAATTAACTTCCCTTGATTTCTACAGCAAAAGTTCTTTGGGTACTTTCCTCTTACTTTTCATAATAATCATCATGTAATTTAGGCTCTTTTCCTATAATACATTTAACAGCTCAGCTGAACAGAACCAATCATCTGCCACAATATTTTGATGTCAATTTTGGATGTGGCTAGAGAGGTGGAGAGTAGCTTGGATTGATTTGTTGAGTTTCCAGTGTGAGCTGAAAATGTATTTTCACCAGGTTCTTTCCCACAATAAATCTGTGTGCTGCATGGAAAATTCTTGAAATGTTTATGTACATAATCATAGTACCATATTTCGCAGGCTTTCTTGACATGAACATTTTGATCTTACAGTGACTTCAGAAGCATACCAATATTTCATCAGTTGTTACTGAGATTCCAATTCTGCATTTTGGATAGAACAATGAAAAAGTTCTGAAATTGGAGATGTTTTCTTGCATTCTTATCTGTCATACGATTATCAAATTTCAAACACCAAAGAAGAAACAAAAATCTGTTGTTCACCATCACATAACAGAAAATATCTCTTCTCATATTATCTGTGGCAAACAGAGACCTTAAATCCTCGTGATCTGATTTGAATGTGCAACTACACACATAACACACCAATAATACTCTCAGTTCCAACAAGTCAAATATTCATAATTTTTCTTTGTTTGTGCATCATTACATTAGTCCATTTCATGGCATCCTTCTGCATATCCTTTCTAATGAGAAACTTCTATACTGTCATTGGTTCTGCTTGTCATCCATATAAGTAAAAGGATACAGACAAGGAAAGTGTATAATTATACTGTGCTGTTTATTTCTGGATAAGCTGAGAATCCCTTCTAATGACAATCTAAACCTGCACTTAAAACTTGGTCTGAACAGTACAATCTGTTTGAACAATGCTATTTGACCCATCAGTGGTATTTCTGTTTTCATTATCACTTTTAACTTACTTACTTGTGTTTCAGCATCCTGTTTCACTGCAGTCGTTTTCATGTATTAGTTTCCATTTTTCATGCGATTAATACTAAAGTTTTATCAAATTTTAATTTCTAATTAAAACTCTCATTCTTTCACTTTATTTTCCTGTTTGTACAGCATGTTTCGGCTCACAGGGCCATCATCAGGTGCTCTAAAATTGTTTTGGTGAAACTGCTGCACTTTATGCGGTGCTATAACTGAGCACAAAGGAAAATTATACTTCAGAATTCATAATTGAATCATAAAAGTTTGAATTAAGAACTTCTAGTATATGTTGCAAAAAAGATGGAAATGAATTACTGCAGTAACCGTCACCTATTTCAGAACATGAATCATGATCACCAGTAATTGCAAAATAATGTTCACTGTACATCTGCATAATTTCTTTCCTTATCTTCCAACTATTCTCTGCTAGTTTGTTAAGAATTCTAATCACTACATATCAGTGTACATGAAGTTCCCAGAACAGAGATTGTAACACTAGTATTCAGGTCTAGCATGCCAGGCTGCTTGAGGATATAAAGAATGAAGATTTCCCAAACAATGAGAGATGACAGTGGACTGAAGAAAAGGAGGCTCATTGTGAGGCAGGAAACAATTACACTGAATGATGCAAGTATATGTTGAACTGATGACAAAATGCAATCTGTTTAATCTTCCTCCGCAGTCTCACAGGCTGTACTCAGGTACTACACCTAAGTGTCTGCCCTTACAAGCATTGTCAAAACTCTCATAATAACCCTGCCATCTAGGTGATGTTCACTGCATGCACATATTGGGGATGTATGGACTGTACTTAGATAGCAGACAGAGATCATGCATAAATGAAACACAATTTTAACATACCACTCACAAGGGTGCTCTTACTCATTCTTGTTTGTCACCTGTTATTGTAATGTAGGTGGAGAAAGTGGTGATGGAAGATGATGTGGTTGCGAATCAACAAGCAGCTAATGTTCAAGAAATAAAGGATGACTGCGATGCTAACCTTGCTCAGGTAGTGCCGATCTTGGATGCAGCTATAGCCACCCTTGGTACTCTCACACCTAATGATATAACTATTGTTAAAACTATGAAAAGTCCTCCAAAAGGAATCAGGCTGGTCATGGAAGCTGTCTGTATCCTGAAGGTATGGTACATACATGTGCACTACTTACAAAACAAACATAGATGTACCTGAATGGGTGTTATATTTGTCTGTCACAAATATTCTTCAAAAGTGTGTTTCATTTTTTAATTTTGTGTTCAGATATCTCAGTAGATTTAAAAATATATACAATATAAATACAATTATTGAGCCATTTCAATTGTGAAGGACTGAAGTGGTTTTATCATTTTTGGGGAATTCTATAAAGATTGCCATTTTCCATAATTACATGGCATACTATGTAAGCAGATTATTTTAAATGTGTTGTTCTGTTTGGACATGTTTTAAAACTTATGTTCTTTTGTGCTATGTTAAAAACATATTTGATTAATAAGGAAAGGAACATAATAATTATTAATTTTTACTTTTAATTGAGCCGTTTATTTGCAACCATGAATGGAAAGAGTCAAATATAGCAAATGGAAATTCTTGAGTGTAGCCAGTCACAGAATAAAAAAAAAAAAATTGTAGAGCGCAATGAAAGAAAATTTTCTTATTCTGAACTTCTTGGATATAATGAACCTTTTCAGGAATTTAATATAATTAAAACACCAGCACAGCACACATTTTGACCTTTGATCACAGTTTTTTACTCTGTGTGTGTAGGATGTGAAACCTGACCGAATCCCAGATCCTGGAGGGTCTGGCAAGATGGTGGAAGATTACTGGGCTCCTTCCAAGCGAGTTCTAGGTGATATGAAGTTCCTGGAGTCCCTAATTTCCTTTGACAAGGACAACATCCCTCCAGCAGTCATGAAGAAGATTACTGAGCGAATCCTTCCTGATGAGAACTTTGATCCTGAGAAAATTAAATTTGCATCTACAGCCGCAGAAGGTATACTTTTGTGGTGTTACTTGTGACTGTGTTGATCATTGTATTTATCAGTGGATGCCTCCAGTTTTGCAAGTCTGCCATTTCTATGGTCTTCGGCATTCCAAACAGTTTGTCTTGGTTTAATTTCCCTGTCTAAAGCTGCCCTTGATATTCTGACATTGTCCATTCACATACCAACTCTAATCTTAAATTCAAAAATATTTATTTGAAATTTCTTGTGTCAAACGCCCTACTTTCTGCATCATCCCTTATTTTGAATCTCCTGGCTATTATGTTTATGCATTTGGGCAGCATGCAGTCTGCTTTAAGTCACTCTTGGTTGTGGTCCATGTTTCACTTCTTACAATGTGTGACTCCATTATATTATACATTCTGAAAAATAATTACATAATAATTTGAGGTATCATATTCTTCTGTGTGCCCTGATTTTCAATTTGCTTCATCCAGTGATCCCCAAGTTTCTTGACTCCCTCAGAATAAAATGTTATCAGTTGGACCTTAAGCCATTCATGCACCATTTGTTTTCATGACTTCATGCTCATTTCAGAAGCAATTTAATTAGTACTCATTCTCCAGTTGTTGTGGATGTGCTGATTGAGTTGCTCCTTAACCTTGTGGGAACCTCCCACAGTGCATAACAGACAACTCCTGCAGTGCACGGAAACAGGCAATATTTACACATCACTTGCAGTCTGGCTCTCTGGACACCAATACAAGTGCTATCCAATCAGCGCTCATAATTGCAGCTCCATCGCCAACTCTGCCCAACAGTAATGGTATAAAAATGCGGGCCTCCAACTGACTACCACATCTGGTCATGAGCCCCAGCCGGTGCTCAACACCAAGACAGACAGACTGACTGACTGTCAGTTGCAATATAACTTTGACTTTGACTTTTGGCTACCATCAGTCCTTCATCAGTCACAACCATCATAGCTACGCTGACATCATGAAGCCACCGCTGCCATAACTTTCCAGTAACAGCGCCAGTAATCTATAGCAGTTGCCAGAAAGGCAATCAAGGACTGGACAAATATGAAGCACAAGAAATACTGGGGATCCTTGACTGGACTCAGGCAAGCAAAGGGACTCATACGAGGACCCTCTGCTAAAAGAGCGAAGGAACTGTTGAAGTTAAACCAGCTACCATGGGTGGTGGGACTATTTACAGGACACTGTCACCTTAAAGGACATCTCTTCAAACTGGGACTAAGTGACAGTCCGAATTGTGGGAGGTGTCAAGAAGAAAATCCTGTGTGAATGTGAGGCCTTAGCTTATCTAAGATTATGTCACTTGGGTCAATACCTTATGGAACCAAGTGACTATTTTGATGCCCCCACATACAAAATCCTGCACTTCATTCAAACGCAGGATTGCTTAGGGGATAATCAAAAGGGGAAGCACAATAGATCACTGTATGTCACAGTGCAAGGGTTGAGAAGGCCCACCCCATATACATTCATTCATTCAACAATGCCAGTAAACAACTGACCCTGCCAGTGCATGCATCGTAGGCAGCTAACTCTACCGGCTCACGCACTACAGCACCACCGGCCAGCCAGCCTTGCCGCCGCAGCAAGAGAACATCAGGCTGCTACAAGAAGACACTGCTGGACAAACCGGCCCTTTTCAGGGCGTCACTTGGCATCGTAATCACGGTACCAGACTAGCCTCCATGAAAGGAGTCTATACCAGTATTTTTCAGGCATGCTCCTGCTTGTTTATAATATGCATTCTAAATGCAACCTCAGTGAACATTGACATCCCACAACCTCAACATGCTACATTCAGTGGTCGCCAAGAACACTATAATCATCAACACCACCACCGCAACCACTACAATTACCACCACTGTCACCGTTGCCATAGCCATCACCACAACCACTGTCACTGTTGCCACTGCTACCCCCCCNCCCCCCCCCACCACCAGTAATTCATAATTTTTTTCTGTTTACTACAATTATTGCCATGCAGAGCTGCTACTAATGTATAATTTTCACTAATTTTCACACCTTGTGACTACAAAAATCAGACCACTGCTGACTCTTTCTTGATGCATTTGATTAGCAGAGAAACCGTGTTAAATATGTCACAGTATTGTCATTACTCATAAGACAATGGAAATTAAGTAAAAATAAGGGGAAGTTCATAGTATCTGCATTACCTTTGAGATGAACTAAATTTACATTTTTTGTTTTCTCTCATAAATGCGCATAATACTTTAAATTCCAACTAAAGGTTGTAGCACACACATGTGTAGATATATTTTCAGGATAGCTGATTTATCACCCTGGCCTAAGACTTCATTTATTATGAATTAAATTTCCTTGTAGGAAACCACGTGATACCATAACAACTGGAGCTAGCTGAATCCAATGCCACTTTCCAAACGGTCTGCATGTTGATATTATTTTTCAGTCAGTATAATTGATACAGCATTCAGAAGTAACTGAATAAACAAATAAATCAACAAACAATTTATTAATATCTTTACTCTTGCAGACAATTACTGTAACAACAGTAGTACAATGTCTATTTTACTTTAGGTCTGTGCAAATGGGTGATTGCCATATCAAAATATGACAAGGTGGCTAAAGTAGTAGCACCCAAGAAACAAGCCCTTGCCAAGGCTGAAGCAGATTTTACAGATGCTATGGCAGCACTGGATGTTAAGAAAGCCCAGTTACGTGAAGTCCAGTCTAAACTCGCTCGACTGGAAGCAGTATTGGACCAGAACAGGAAACGTTATGCTTTGCTGCAGGCAGATGTTGAGCTTTGCCAAATGAAACTGAAGCGGGCAGAGGAGCTGATTGGAGGTCTTGGAGGGGAGAGGACTCGTTGGTCTGCTATAGCAAAAGCACTTGGTGAAAAATACTTCACTCTGACAGGTGAGAAGCCATTCTTGATTTGAATTGTCCTACATGCAATAGGTCACAGCTGCTTCATTTCAATTGTAGAAATCCATTCATATAAAAATGTGCTATTTAAACTTGGCCTATTAAGTTTTGAATCTGCTTCTTTCTTAGTTTCTTCTCATTTTCTTTCTTCTTTCTTTGTGACATCTTTCATCACCAGTTTCCCCATTTTGATCTCAGGTTTCCTTTTAGATTTGTTCAGACATTCTTTTAGGGCCACACGGTAGTGTAGTTGATTGAGGCACTATGCTACAAGCTGGAAGGTCGCAGATTCAAGTCCTGATGAGGTCATCAGATTTTTTTCAATTGACCTAATCCTTCCAGCTGCACTATGGCCCTGGGGTCAACTCAGCCTCTAACAGAAATGAGTACCTGGAATATTCTTGAAATATTCTTGGGGGTAAAGGGCAGCCGGCGCATAAGGCTGACAACCTTGCCGCCATCTATGAGCCGATTGTCTAGAAAATGTGGGAACCTCAACATCTCACAACCCTATGGGCCTTCACAGCCTATTACAGGATTACCTTTACTTTTTACTTACTTTCAGACATTCTTTTAGATTTTATCTTCATTTATTCTTAAAATGTGTCTATACCATCTTTATCTATTAATTTGTCTTCCAGGATATTTGCCTTTTAGTTCTCTCATATTTTTCATCACATAATCTCTCTCTTCTGATTTTCTTCTATATTTTATTTTTGCAGCTGTTAATATGGGCATGCAGTAAGTTTCAGAGAGCCAAATTTTTCGTTCAGGCACTTCTCATTTTCAGAGTCTATCCCAAAATAAATGGTAAGATTTTCCTACATTCTTTTATTCTTTCTGTAATTTCTTTTCTTACCCTTCCATTTGTAATTATTTTATTTCTTAAGTGCTTCCAGAATATTTTCATAACCTTGAATTTATCTAAACTGACAGTTAATCATAAAACTCTACGCTCAGTAAAAGCTCCATTTAACTTTATTTTTTAAGTACTTTCATTCAGTTCTTGTAGAAGTGTGTCACCTTGCATATATCATACTGATATGTATTAATGTATGAGGTATGACAATAAAGTTCGTGAACTCGCCACTGTGCGCTTGCTGTGGCATCAATGGACAGAAACCTCAGTATGGTTTGATGACGTTAGCATATCAGTGTTTCATAGCTATGGTGTTGTTGATCTATGGCAGTCGCTTTCTGAGTGGCATCTATTATTGTCTGAGCGTATTTTGGTGTGCCGTCATGAGAATGTCGGAACAAACATTAAATTTCTAGTTAAACTTGGTGAGAGTGGAAGCAGAATCAGAGATATGCTAGTGTAAGTTTACAGGGATAATGCTATGAAGAAAGCGTCAGTTTACAAGTGGGTGACACATTTTTCTGAGGGAGGAGAACATGTCACTGATGAAGAGATATCAGGATGGCCAGCAACAAGCAGAACTGAAGAAAACATTGCACAGGTTCGTCAAATTGTGCCTGAATATCATCGGCTGACTGTCAGCAGCATAGCACAGCAAGTGAACAGACAAAGAAACAGTTAGGAAAATCTTAACTAGAGATCTTGACTTGAGGAAGGTGTGCACCAAAATGGTCCCAAAGGACCTGCTCACATGGCACTGTCTGTGAGCAGTTTTTGGCTAGTAAACAAATAACTATGCTGGAACACCCTATTCATCGGATCTATCCCCCACTCACTTTTTCTGTTCCCAGAGATTAAGAAAATATTGAAAGGAAGGAATTCTGTAAACACGCCTTCGCAACAATAGAGAAGCTGTGTTTTATGCGTAGTCCATGCAAAGTAGTTATAGAGAATAGTTCTTGAGCCATGCTGAAGGCTCTTGTGATGACATCATGCCTTCCAGCCATGTTAATCTCCCTTGGCCCTACCCCTTCTCCTCGTGTGCGCAGTGTATCACGAGGGATTCCACTTCCTTTCCACCCCGTCCACCTTCCCCGAAGGTTTGGAAGAGGCCGGCTAGTGAATTTTAAACATTCGTTGCTTGGATCCGCAGCGAAGCGGACGTACGCTGCCAGCTGGGGTAATTGTCAAATTCTGTTTCGGCTAGGGTATTCTAAATTAGGTCTGGTTGTGTGTGTGCTGGCAAGGCACATTGGGGGTTTGGTCACGTCCGCTGGCCAGTAGGTTTATTGTGTGGCAGCGACGGGGCCTTAGATTAATTTTGTGTTGTTGTATTTCCCTTCGAGGAATCGCCTGTGGAAAATTAATAATAGTCGATGTTTATTTTGTGCCTGCTGAGGTAGCGTGATTGTAAGTAGAGTTACTAGAGCAGTGAGCGTGGGCAATTAAGTTTAGTCAGATGCCACAGATAGGCAAGCCGTAAATGTAATGGACAGACTTGGTTAAAGTTGTATGTTTGAGCCTACGTGCTTCTGTAAAATTATAATTGTTGTATTTATTTTATATTGTGTTCTCTGTTATTAAATTATGTTATTGTAGAACTGAGTCTTGTCGATTGGGAGTGTCTCCCTTGCTGTTAATTTGGAGGCCCTACTCTATCTAGGGAGCATGTGTGAACATAACAAGAGAGCCCTTGGTGTTGCGCCCCTCCTGTCTTGGACGTCAGCGCGAGAGGTATAAGCCAAAGGATCGAGGAAGACAGGTGGTTTATTCTAAAGCTGGCAGGTGTGGCATAGGATAGATCTGAGTTTCAAGATGCCAGGCTGCCAAGATTTTAGCTTGGAAGCAAAGGAATTGAATTGAGTCGAGTCTTCAGAAATGGCATTTGCTGAGATGTGTGAAGAGGGTGTAAAAAAATCCAATCATCCAATCCAGAACCCATCTGTAAGTCACGCACGCTCCTCTACACGTGACAGTATAATACATATTGTGGTGGTTTGTGTCTGTGTAGTAGCTTAATACAGGGTGATTCAGAGTCCTATGGAAAAATTTTAGGAGATTCTTAGGGGAGATATTTTTGAGCAGAAGATGTAAATGAATTGTTGTTCATTTCATCATCCTTGTCAGGTTGTGATGTTGTGCCAATTTTTAAGCAAATGAAATGATTATCCCTTTATTTATATATTTTGCTATTTGCATTTAATATCTTTAAGTATTACTTCACTAATGAGGAATGAAAAACGAAGATTCTTAAGTTATTATCTCTTTGTAGCTCAAATTTTGCGTTACATTTAACATAAATATCTGATTATGTAGTGGGACTTGTACACAGTTCTGCATATTTCTTCACAAGAACTGCTCAAAGCTACTTCCTCCAACTTGGATGCACGTTTCACACAAAGTGAAATGGAGCCCCTAACAGGAATTTCATAGATTGGCCTCTAATGTTTGCAGCTGTTGAATGTGATTGATTGGGTGGTTGCAATCTTGTATTTTCTTAGCAGAACCGTATTCATTGATGTGTCCCCATAAGAAAAATGGAATGGCCTCAGGTTAGGAGAACATTGAGACTTGATGATTGGAATGTCATTGCTGATCCATATGTCTGGAAATGATTGTTCAATCAATTACGTATTTTGTATGAAAAGTGGGTAGGCATGAAATTGTGCCAAAACCACATGCCTTCATAAATATGAAGGGGTAAATCAACCAGTGAAATGAGCATGCTGGATTCCACCAAGATGAGTGATTATAGTAATATGAAGTCCAATTAAATATTCTTCAGTGATTTATGTCCAGTCATCAATTCTAAATCTTTGTGAGAATGAAGAACGCTGAGTAATACAAGGATTCTCCAGTGCCCATTTATATAGGTTTTGGAGCTATTTTACTTTTCTCCTTGTGAATGTTGCCTTATCTGTCCACAACACCTGGCACAAAATGTCATGTTCATCTAAATACAGTTTAATATAGAAGCCATCAACAGAACTAGAGATAAAGACTGCTGACCCCTGGCTGTAGCCACTTTACCCTTGGTAGCAGTGAGTATGAAGACTCTGATCATATGAATTGCAACACTATGTAGCTAAGAGACAGTGTGGTGTTTTGGAGGACCGTGTCACCTCCATGTTCAGAGTTGTAAAGTAAGTCAGGCAAGAAACCAGGAGAAACAGGTAGTAGGCTCAGCTGTACTTGTTGCCTGCTTCAGCTTATTGTCGGCTTCTTGCTTGGCTTACTCTTTTACCTTGAAGATGGATGTGATATGTTCCTCCAAAGCATTGGTAGATTTCTACCAAATTACACGGCATTACAATCCAGAAGAGTTTGCAAAGATGAAGAGCCACCAGTTTGCTATATGATTTTATCAGATTCATTAGAGAAGGATTTGGAAGAACATACAGATGATTGTACATGAGGAGAGAGAAATCAGAAGACACATTCCAATATTTACAGGCCCCTTCCTACTTTCATCATAAGCCAGCACCTAATATTATGGCTAATTGTTCCCCCTAAAATACACCATACTCATATTATTAGGTCTGGAAGCATATGATATTTCACATAAAAACAGCATACTCTGCAACAATTTTGGTGTTTTCACTCTCTATCAGGGCTTACAAATGATGATCTCAATACTGGGTAGTATGGAATAGGACCGTTTGCTAAACAAAGTAATTATAGTCCAAATAAAGTTCCATCATGACAACAACACACTATCAGCAAATTTTATGACAGTGTCAGTTAGGAAAACAATTCTGAGATGCCACTCTTAATGTGACACCTACATGATACCATTCTACTGCTTGTGACAAAAATGGAATATACTGGCAAGGAGCTATGGATGAATAACTGTTAACTAAAATTATAATTATTTTACATTTCTGGACTTTTGGATGCCCCTACAGCAGGAATATTTTGGCATTGCATCATAGACCAGGAATTCCCTCATGGTTTGTCCTCAAAGCCCTCAAAATTATGAAAGTGGACAAAATAGATTTTATGGCAGCATTACAGCTGTGTGCTGGAAAGACAAGAGGTAGGTATATGCACCAGTTTGCATGGACCTGCAGATGAAGGAAACTTCCAGGGTAAATCAGGCAGAGATTGCCTGACATGCTGGTGCAGTATATCATTTGTTTATGTGCTATACATATATTTCCACAAAGGATGTGTCTTATTTGTGAGAAACGTGCTGTACAATGGGGTACCCAAAAAAAACCGAACTAATTTTTTTGTGGGCAGAGCTTTTGTAGTACTGCGTTTTGCCGCTATGAGCGCACAGAGCTAACATTCCTGAGTCGATAAGCCGACTACCGTTGCTTCAGAAGGTAAGGACTAGTTTTGGCAGAGTTTATAGTGACAACTGTTTTGTGTGATCGTCATTTTTGCAATGGCTGATT